AACCCACAAATACAAAACAGAAACAGACTCATAAACATAGAATACAAACTTTTGGTTGCCAGGGGAACGAGGGATGGGAAGGAACTGGGATTTCAAAGTGTAGAAAAGATAAACAAGATTGTACTGTGTAGCACAGGGAAATATATACAGGATCTTGTGGTGGTTCCTAGCGAAAGAGAATTTGACAATGAATGTGCATATGTTCATATATAACTGAAAAATTGTGCTCTACACTGGAATTTGACACAACATTATAAAATGACTATAACTCAGTAAAAAAATGTTTTAAAAAAAAGAGTTAATGATTAGGAAATGTGAAGGTGTAGAAAAAAGAATAGCTGTTGGGCCTGGTAACAATTTAAACTATAAAATAGCCACATAGCAGAGTCACTGAACTCCCAGTTCTCTGACAGATATAGATGAAAGGTCTGACACACATTCCTAAGATTTTTAAATAGGAAGCAGTCCCCTACCAGATAAAAAATGCTGACTGCAAGCATGTGGATTCCAGACCAGTTGAAACCAAAAGACTACGGATGCTCAAAACTTCACCTTTTAGTGCCAATCCGAGAATTACGCACAAGCTGCTCGTGCACTCTGAAGCCCCCTCCCTTTACACTGCCTTTAGAAGCCCTTTGCCTGTGCCAAGATGTTAAGATAGTTTTTAAGGACACTAGTTCCCACCATCTTCTTGGTTAGCTGACTTTCTTGAATAAAGTTGCTTTCCTTGACTCAACACCTTGTCACTCAACTTCTGGCCTGTCATGTAGCAAGTAGTAAAACCTGAGTTCAGTAAGTTATACATGATGATACTATACAATCAAAAATACTAATGCATAACTAGAAATTGCATTATAACATTCACTAATCTAAATGCTTTAGGTTACTGCAATAATCAAATCAACAAAAATATGTGAAAGCACTTACAAATTAAAAACATTCAAATATTCAATTTATACAAACATAAACACTATGACAATTAACACTAGAGAAAATTGTAACTTTTTTTTCAAAAATGAATCTAATAGTAGGGGAAAGGAAGCAGTAAATAAGATGTTGAAATGGAGCAGGACCCTATGAGGCCTTCCCAGGATAGAATCTATGGCCCCCATGTCCTGGGCCTGCCTTTTGTCTTAGCCAAAGAATAAATTCAATCAGAGAAGTGAGAAAATGCAGAAGCAAAGGAAACCAGTCAAACAGGACCATATAATAATAGCCGAGTCATTAAACAAAGTTAAAGACCTTTAGTTCCTCCTCAAGGACCGTAGATAATATTCTGAGCCATAACCTTTGAGATGTTTTGTAGATACGGAAACCCCTAGCAGGTGGAAGACGTTAACCACATGATGACCAGACTGTAGACATGATACAAGCTGCTCCATCTTACACAATTCCAAGAATTGGCCTCAAAGAAATGTGAACAAACCGATCCTGAAACTGAAGATTAACTGTACACAGATCAATCAAGATGACACAGATCAGACCACCACATGACTAAATTTCAAGATGACCGTCAGAGCTGACTGTGCTTTCTGCATGTAGCCCCCTCCTTCTACCTATACACCACTGAAACCCCTTTAAAAGCTCTTGCCCCTGATCAGCAGGAGGAGAGTTGGCTTTTGGACATGAGTCCATATTCTCCCCAGTTTGCCAGCCTCCTGAATAAAGCAATCTTTCTTTTCCTACCAACACTAATGTCCAAGAGGCAAAATGAAGGCCATTTGCATTAGAGAAAAAAAATAAATGAAAGCAGCATTGTGGTGGAGTGTACTAATTACCCAGGCAGAGAGAAAAAAGCAGATGGTGCTTTCCCAGCACTGATGGCCAAATTGAGAATCAAGATAGAAAAAATATAAGGAACTATAAATGTCATGATCATTGGTTATTTATCTCAGATATAATTACAAAAAATATAGGTACCATCAAAACAAACAAACAAAAACCAAGTGAATAAATATATCACCTGGCTCTTGCAATGACTATAAAATAGCCCAGCTTAAGATTTATAAACTACCTAGAAAATGGATCAATTAGCATTAGCAACAAAGAAAAAGTCACTTCGGGCTGTTTAAATCTCTTTCAGGCTTTGATTCTTTAACAAAATAGATAACCCTTTTTCAGGATGAGCAAGATGTAAGAAAATGGCCAAATTAATGCCAGTATATATATCCAAGTCCCTGTTCTCATCTGCCTAAGGAGGCTGTATCTGAATCATAATAGAGAAGTCAATTAGAATCAAATCATTCATAGATTTGATATAGATAGATCTGCAAACTATTTAACTTGCAAATCACTGTTTTGGCACAAAGCACCATCACCATACACTACAAGGTTCCAAGAAATCCACCAAAAGATTAAAGAGTCATCTAAATAAAACACCATGAACTATTTAGGAAATATTAACATTTTTTAAGCTGTCTTTTGCACAGGAACTACAAAGGTTTATGTACAGAAGCTAAAAAGATGCTACATAGTCCAAAAAACATGACCAAGTATATAAATCTTCATAGTTGATATGAAACTCTATATTTACACATTCCCCTACTTAAAGAAGTTTTTTTTGGGGGGGGAGGTTGTTCATTTATTTCTATTTGGAGGATGTGCTGGGGATTGAACCTGGGACCTCATGCATGACAAGTATGCGCTCTACCACTTGAGTTATACCCTCCTCACTTAAAGAAGTTTTGAGCAAGCCATGTGCCATTCTGAAATGGAGCATTATGTAAAGTCAATCTCAAAGGTTTCCAAGACCTCTGAAACAAAATTAATATGATATATTCTAGTTTTGCTTGAATGTTATCTAATTTAAGGTTTGTTATTAGCACAAGGCGCCAACCTTCCAATTATTCTTCCCCAAGAGAAATAAGCACAAGCTAAAAATGTAGCAAGGCAAATAAAACCTCCTTATCTTCTACATTACCTTAAAGACCCTCTGACTTTGAAATAAGAGTATCTGTGTAAAACGAACTTATACTCTACTCTTGAGAGTTATGAGTCTACTGAGAAATCTGAACTGGGGGAAGGACAGAAGGAGGCAGTTAGGAACGAGGAGGGAATGTCAGTCTCTTCCTCCCATCCTTTTTAAACACATACATGTACTCCGCATATTTCATAGGTAAGGTAAGAGACATGCCTAGAGTAGGGGAAATCCAATGAGCTGGAAGAGTTTTTAAATCATCAAAATTTTTAGGGCTTAAAAGTGAGGCAGACCAATGGCCCTTCAGGAATTATAGACAGATGAATCATTTGCTACTGGGGCTGAGATTGATGGTTGCTACTAATAGCCATTCTCTCATTCTCCCTTTAATAAAACCCCTAAATGTTAGTTAAGCACATGGCCACTCAGCTAGATTATATTCACCAGTCTCCCTTGTAGTTGGGGAACGTAAACATGTGATTATGTTCTGGCCAACTGTATGTGAGGAGACATGTACAACTTCTGGGAAGTGCCCTTAAAGGGCAGGATGTGCCTTTTACTTCCTCATTTCCCTTTCCTGATGGCTGAAGTGCAGATGTGATGACAGGGAATGGAGTAGCCATTTTATGCCACAAGACAGAAACTACATTACTAAACGTGGAAAAACAAACCAGTAGAAAATGTGACAGAGAATGTTCCTCACAAAGTTCTTTAATGTTAGAAGACTCAACAATTTAGTCACACCCAGAATAATGTAGCAAGTTAGAAATAAGAATCAATATAGCAGCAAAACTTAATTCGAACAAGCTTCTTCCCTGTTGCTTAAGACAAAACTTTGGTGTGCATTGCTGATAATATTATCATTACTCACTGACACAAGATAACAAACTGGTAAAGTGTTTTTAAAGCCAGTGCCAATTTAAAAAAAGAAAGATAGTAAATGGAGTTCCTATTCCAAAACTGTGAGTACTTCCCAACTCTCAGCATCCCTAGTTTAACTTAGACCAGTCACCTAAACAGAACTAATACCCATTAAAAAGAATCCTTTCATAAGTGCTAAAGAGCAGACTACAGTGGAAATTAAAAGTCATCTTCCAGCTAATGTGATGTCATCTTGATTGACATACTACTACATTAGTAGAAAAATCAATAGTTGATATGAAAATTATAACTTACACTCATTATAAATATTAAGTAAATCCAAAAGGATGACATTTGTGTTTTGGATAACAAAGAAATACACCATGATGAGAAATGAGTTGCCATTCAATTTCAAGTAGACTGACACTGTCCTTCAGCAAGGCTGTTATAAAATTCAAACTCACTTACCTACTGTGTCTACTCCTTTCCTGCCAGCACGACCAACCATCTGCTTATAAGTAAGAATATCTAGAGGTTGACCACTGAAAATAGGAGTCCGAATGATTACACGACGTGCAGGTAAATTCACCCCAGATGAAAGAGTAGAAGTTGCTGCCAAGACCCGAATCTGACCTTGACGGAAGGCTCCTTCAATAATATCTCTCTCCTCAAAAGTAAGACCTAAAAAAAGGAAGTTATAATAGCATATATTTATTTACATATAATGAAAATATTGTACTTGATCACTTACATATTCCATAGCTGAGAATATGCTACAAGTCTCTAGAGATTTTTTTCAAATTATTGTTATGATTATAAACAAAAAAAGTCATCACAGTATATCAGTTTAAGAGTATAAACTGCCACCCCTAGTATACTTCTATCTCAGCTTCTAAACCAGGGGCTGTCAAACTTTATATGTAAATATTTTAGGTTTTGCAAGACAACTATTGCAACTACTCAACTCTTCAATAGTCACATGAAAGCAGCCACAAAACAAATAGGCCAGACTGTGTTCCAATAAAATTTTACTTACAGTAACAGATGGTGGGCTGGCTTTGACCAGCAGACTGTAGTTTGCTGACCCCTACACTAGACAATGAACTCCTTGAGGGTAGAGACATGCCTTATTCATAACAGTATCTGCAGGGCCTATCTAATACAGTGGTCAGGCACATAAATAAATGTCTGAAGAATAAATACACAAGTAAATGAAAAACAACATAGAGAATATATACTGATCTAGCTTATTTTTTATTTTAATTTATTTAAAAAAAAAATCAAAAGGATTGAGCCCCTAGTTTATAAGTTAAGTTGTAGGTCCACTGGTATTCATTTTATTAGTATGCATATTAAGTTACACAACGAAAATATTTTTGAGTGTTTGTGTGTGTGTACATATATATATATTTTAAAATTTATCTATATATAGCATGATAAAAATTTTAAATAAATTGAAAAGGTTAAATTCCTATCTTAGAAACTATATATTGTTAATCAAATCTTTAGCACATATCATCATGGACAGATCACTCTCAGAAAGAAGGTATTTAATTCAATGACTGTAATAAATCTTGCAGTTTTGACAATCTAGGTATTTGCATCCCTCTCAAAATACAAGATGACAATTTCTAAAATTAATCTGATTTTGACACATTTGTGAGAATATTTCAAATATCCCTTGAGATAAAAGGAAACATTCAAGTGGCATAAAATTAGGGTAGCAAGTACTACTCTAGCCTAAATTTTAAGGATATAAAGTATAGAAAGGTAACAGTTTTAGAATTTGCTTCCCTAATGATACAAAAAAGCTTTTATCTAGTATTTATATACTATACAGATAAGTAAACCTACACGTTTGTTTTATTCTTGTTTAATCTTAATCACACAATTTCTTTTTTTTTTAACATTTTTTTATTGATTTATAATCATTTTACAATGTTGTGTCAAATTCCAGTGTTCAGCACAATGTTTCAGTCATTCATGGACATATACACATTCACTGTCACATTTTTTTCTCTGTGTGTTATCAATCACACAATTTCTTAAAATGAAACCTAAGAGTATTAAGTGTGGTTAACAAGAAATTACAAATGCATGCAAATATAAAAATGAAGAAATTGTAAGGATTTCTGGAAGGGGCTAATTAGTAACATATTATAAATATGGATACCTGCATGGTGAAATGCTACTCCCCAAGGTACAGTTTTCTGCAATACAGAGTCCAGTCCTGAAGGCACACGTTTTAACTGATCCATCACTTCTAGGAGGCCCTTCCGTTCCAGTATCATTGGTGGAAGTTCAGATGACCTCACCACTCCTGCCACAAAAAAATTATCAATATTGTTCACCTCCCCTTGGACCTCTTTAACTACTATTTGCCTGAGTGATGACAGAGCGAAATACAAGTGCAATAGTTCTGAAACTATTATATAAAATAATCACCTAGCTATCCTTTAAAAATACTGATGCCTGGCTCTCATCCCTGGACATTGTGATTTAATAGGGTACAACCTGGATGTAAGGATTTTAACATATTCCCAGGCAAGTCTAATGTGTACCAACATTTAGGAAATGCTCTACTAGGATGAGATCAAACCTAGAGGAGGAGATCTAAAGAACAAACAAAGAAAAGAGATTTCAGACACTTAATACCACTCAGAGCCTAAAAATCAAAAACCCTTGCTCAAAGCGTGTTCCACCAACCAGCAGAGTCAAAAATCACAGAGGAGCATAGTTCTATGCAGCAATTTTTCCAGCCTTTTTGGCATCCATGTGTTAATGAATCACATATTACCCTCTGTTTTTGCCTCTATGTGTAAGCCTCTCTCTCAGTAAGACCTTAACTTTCTTAGATGCAAGAACTATGTTTTCTTAAAGAATTTCCTAGACTTTTGAATTTCTGAACTAGTAAAACTTCTCATAGACTATATCTTATATTTTATACATTTTTAATCTTTCAAGTAAACTTTTCTTAAAATTTTGAGGACCACAGAGGGTGGCCAATGTATTATTTCCCTAAGGACAATCAAAAAAAATTTTTTAATTACTACTGTTCAATACACCTATTTCAAAAGGAAAGTCATTTTACCATAAAAAAATTAGTAGGGATAATTTCAAAATTTAAACTTCATCTTTATGAAAACTGTGATGCCTTGTCTTTATTTTTGTGGTGAAAAGTTCATCCTAGCCCAGGCCCCAGTCCAAGCACTAGGATTTAAAACCACTGCTATAAATCAAAAATAACAGAACACTAAGCAAAGAAAATATTAATGATATTTCTGGTTATTAAGGAATATAAGCTATCATGGTACAACATAAAAAATATAAGTTGACATAGTACAGAAAGTATCAATTAAGAGGGAACTAGAAGAGATATTATAATGTTGGACCAGAGCCTACCCAGTATAGACTTCAGTTTACTTACTGGGGCTAGTCTTAAGATATCTATCACCCGTCCTCAGGATGACACTGACATAATGAAGTCATAAAATGCCCTAGTACTCTGTAACTAGAATTGGTCTCTGTGTCTTCCCTACACTTATCTTTGACCCCAAAGAACTATAGGCTAGTATAGTGGTGAGAGAACAGTGCTCATTCTAGAACTGGTAAAAATATACATCAATGTTATAGCAACATACTAGATCAATATTCAGTAATAAAAAAAGGAACAAACTGGTAAGTGTAACAACTCAGATGAATCATAAAACGATCATACTGATTGAAAGAAGCCAGACACAAAAAACATATACCATATGACTTCATTTTCTACATGGAATTCTTAGAAAAGGCACAACTAATTGAGAGTGACAGAAAGCATATGAGTGGTTGCCTGCAGCTGGGGATAGAGGGAAGAGACTGACAGCAACAGAGAACATCTTAGGGTGACAGAAATGTTCTATATGTTGATCATAGTGGGGGTTAAAAAGGTGTATACATTTGTTGAAATTCATTAAATTATATACTTCAAGTGGGTACATATTATTTTACATAAATTATACTTCAATAAAGCCTATTTTAAAATACATGTGTATATATGTGTGTATATTTGTATGTCAACATGATTCTTTTTAGAGTTTGGAAATATTAATAAATATATATGTAAATATGGCTGTCTTCCCCAGAAAAATGGGTATACGTAAAGTTTATACAGTTTAGGGGCTTCGAGGTCAACCTCTCAAAGCCCATGGATTCTAGATGAAGAACCTTAGTATATACCTGTATAAATTCAATATTCTAAAAATCTAAAGATTAGCCTGAACGTGTGTAAACACTGTCAGTAAGCAGGATAAGGAGACAATTAGTCACAAAAGCATAGTTTTGCAAAGGAGTATCCAGCGGGCAGTTGGTGGCAACGATGAAAGAGAGCCATGCTTTGCTAATATAATTATTAACAGTACTTTCAAGCAAATGTATTAAGTCTGAGGGTTTTCGTTTCCATCAGTAACTTACCCTCAGCTTGATGACGTAGATTGTAAAACTCACGGGCAATGACATGTGCCAGCTTCTCACACCATTTCTTTGATGGACAGAAAAGTAATACTGAATGGTTATCAAGAACGGTCTCATAACATAAACTAACAACATGGTCGTCATCACCCTAAAAAGGAAAAAGAAATAGCCACTCTAGTGGTACTTTCAAAATATGTTTGTATCAGTTTGAAGTCACTCATTTTGCTTCCTGGGAAAGGTTTTTCTACTCAAAGACATGTTAAAAAATCAGTTACAAAGTCAGTAACACAACAAAGAAAAAACAAAACAAAAAGAGAAAATAGTAATAAACCTTATGATGCAAGGTGAGAAGGAAATATTTTCTATTCATTCAACTAAGTGATTGACCTCCAACCCGCAGGTAATAGGAATATAATGGTGAGCAAAAGAAAGTCCAAGTCTGAAGGGGTTTAGGTCTCACTGGGAAAACGTATTAAAGAACTAAACAAACAAATGTAACATATAATCATAAGATGCACTATAAAACAGAGTTTTCATAGTGTTCTGAAGCCTCATATTTGACATAAATTTGACAGAAAGATCTGAAAGAAAGGTTTCCCTGAGAAAATGATGATTTAGCTGAGATGGGAAGAAGGGGAAGCATTATCTCAATGAAAGGTAACTGAGGGGGCAGATGACACATTTCAGGCAGAACAAAGAGCACATGTAAATACCTTAGTGGCCCAGCAAGTTCTCAAAACTGGAGATTCAGTGTGTGTAACTGGAGTAATTCATTCATTTATCCATTCACTCATTAAGGAAATATTTAATGTGTGCCAATACTGTTCTAGGTGCTGGGGATGGAGAACAAAGCAGAAAAAAAGCTTTGCCCTCAGAGTGTTTCTATTCCAATAGGAAGAGACAGATAATCAAAACAAGATAAGTAAAACACATAATATGTTTAATTTTGGTAAGTGCAAAGAAGAAAAATAAAACAGGGAAAATAGGAACCAATGGGAAGACACTGTAATTTATATAAGGTAACAAGGGCAGGTCTGAGAAAGTAACACTTGAGTGAAGGTTCAAAGGTGAAACCCTACTGATGCCTGGTGGGTAAAGCATTCCAGACAAAGAGAACCTGAGGTGGCAGATTCTTGGCATATTATGGAACAGCAAAGAGGCCATGGAGTAAGACGGAATACAGAAAGTGAAGTCGGAGCACTAAGGGGGTGGGGCAGATCATACAGCGGTTTATAGGCAACTTTAACCATGTTGGCTTTCATTCTAAATGAAATAGGGAACCATAACAAATTTATGAGCAGAATGGTTACATGATATGGTGTTCATTTCAAATAGATCACAAGGTCTTTGATAGACTGAAGGGGACCAAGCTAGGAAGCAGAGAGATCAATTGTGGGGCTATTTCAGTAATCCAAGGAAGAGCTGAAAATGATTTCAATAAGGTGAAGGCATAGACAATGTAATGAAAGAAAAAAGTTAACAGGACAGTAAATAAATGTGTTTACATACATATTTATTGAGGTAACCAAGGCACAGTCAGTTGAAATTTGGGATACAGAGCAAAGGAACTAAGTAAGATTCTATGCCAGGCATGCAGAGGCTATAAATGCATACTTATGAGGGTACTGAAATGCAAATTTAGTTCTATTCCCAGCTCTAAACCTACCCTTAACTATTTCAGTACATAGAGGCACACCTCTGCAAAAACATAGATGCCTCATTCCACAGATGGTGAGTCAGTTCTTTAACCTCAGGACAGAAGAATCAGGCCTAGAAAAATACTGTGAACTAAAACTTTAAGTGTATTTAGGGGGTGAGAGAAAATTTATCATTTATCAAGCACTTTCTAGATGCTAGGCAAATTTTAAAAATCATATTTTATTCTTTGAATACTAAAGGTAACTCTTTTATTCCATTTTATAGATGAAGATACTACGTTCAGAGAAGTTATGTGATTCAACTAATATCACAGGCATATCAAGTATCAGAGGTAGGTCTGTCTGACTCCAAAAATGTTTCTTTCCATTCTACTATTTTATACCTACATCACTTAACAAAAGGTCAATTTTCCATATTAGTATTTAGTGTAAACTCAGCCATAAGAAAATCTTTTCTCAGTTAGAAACAAAAAATCTTACAAAATTGTATTATTTTTTGTTACTTAACACTTACAAGATCTC